CCTGCTGGGCCTTCCTCTGGTTTTTTTTCTATACCCTCTTGGGCCCACGTGGCCTCCCAAGGCCGAACTCTATGCATAGAGTTGGGCCCGTTGGGCTCTCTTCAGATTCCCGTTGGGTTTTCTTGAGCTTTCCAGGCCCGCTTGGAGCTAATCTGCGGGCCCCTAGTTGGGCCTTCAGGCACCCGCAGGCTGATCTCAATGGGTAGAGTTGGGCCGTTGGGCCTTCTTGAGGCTCTCTTGAGGGGCCTGCTGGGCCCTCCTCGGGCTCTTCTCCGGGGCACTCTTGGGCCCCTGTGGCCTCCCACGGCCCAACTCTATGCATAGAGTTGGGCCCGTTCGATTGTTTTGAGGTCTCGTTTTGGGTTCTCTGGATCTTTCTAGGCCCGCTTGGAGCTAACAATTGGGGCCGTAGTGGGGCCTTCAGGCACGCGAAGGCCCATCTCTATGGGTAGAGTTGGGCCTTTTGGGCCTCCGTGCGGCTCTCTTGGGGGCCTGCTGGGCCCTCCTCGGGCTCTTCTTCGGGGCCCTCTTGGGCCCCTGTGGGCTCCCACGGCCCAACTCTATGCATAGACTTGGGCCCGTTCGTTTTTTTTTTTTGGGGGGGGGGGAGGTCTCGTTTTGGGTTTTCTTGATCTTTCCAGGCCCGCTTGGAGCTGACCATTGGGGCCGTAGTGGAGCCTTCAGGCACGCGAAAGCCCATTTCTTTGGGTAGAATTGGTAGAGTTGGGCCTTCGGGCCTTCTTGAGGCCTTCGCGGGAGCCTCCGAGGCCCTCCTCGGGCTCTTCTTCTGGGCCCTCCTGAGCCCCTGTGGCCTTCCACGGCCCAACTCTATGCATAGAGTTGGGCCTTGGGACGTTCTTGAGGTCCCCTCTTCGGGTTTTCTTGGGTCGTGCCCCCAGGCGCCCGAAGGCCCACCTCTATGGGTAGAGTTGGTCCTTCGGGCCCTCTTGAGGCTCCCTTGGTGTCTAAATGAGCCCTCCTCTGGCTCTTATTCGGGGCCCCCTTTGGCCAGCCAAGGCCCGACTCTATCGAGTTGGGTCGGTGGGCGTTCTTGGGTTATCCTTTCGGGTTTTCTTGAATTCTCTGGGCCCGCTTGGAGCTAATGTGCGGGCCCCGAGTGGAGCCTGCAGGCACCCGAGGGCCGATCTCAATGGGTAGAGTTGAGCCTTCGGGGCTTCTTGAGGCTGCCTTGGGGGCCTGCCAGGCCCTCCTCGGGCTCTTCTTCGGGGCCCTTCTGAGTCCTTGTGGCCACCCAAGGCCCAACTCTATGCATAGAGTTGGGCCCGCTGGGCTTCCTTGAGGTCTCATTTTGGGTTGTCTTGATCTCCCTAGGCCCACTTGAAGCTAACCATTGGGGCCCTTGTGGCGCCTTCAGGCACGCGAAGGCCCATCTTTATGGGTAGAGTTGGGCCTTTAGGCTTTCTCGAGGCTCCCTTGGGAGCCTGCCAGGCCCTCCTCTGGCGCTTCATCGGGGCCCTCGTGGGCTCCCTTTGGCCATCCAAGGCCCGACTCTATGCGTAGAGTTGGGCCCGTTGGGCTTCCTGCAGACTCCCCTGGGGTTTTGTTGAGCTTTCTAGACCCGCGTGGAGCTAATCTGCGAATCCCTAGTGGGATCTTCAGGCACCCGAAGGCGCATCTCTATGGGTAGAGCTAGGTCTTTGGACCTTCTCGAGGCTCCTTTTGTGGCATGCTGGGCCCTCTTCGGGCTCTTTTTTTCGGGGCCCTCTGGGGCCCCTGTGGCCGCCCAAGGCCCAACTCTATGCATAGAGTTGGGCCCCTGGGCTTCCTTCAGGTCTTCAGGTTTTCGTGCGCTCTCTAGGCCCGCTCGGGGCTAACTTGCGTGTCCCGAGTAGAGCCTTCACGCATTCGAAGACCCATCTCTATGGGTAGAGTTGGTCCGCTGGGCCTTCTTGAGGCTGCCTTGGGGGGCCTGCTGGTGGAGGTCCTCTTGGGCGTTTGTGGCCACCCAGAGTTGGGCCCTTGGGCTTTCCTGAGGTTCCTGTCTGGTTTTCTTGAGCTCCCCAGGCCCGCTTCGAGGTAAGTTTGGGGCCGCAGTGGAGCCTTCAGGCGCGCGAAGGCCGATCTCAATGGGTAGAGTTGGGCCTTTGGGCCTTATTGAGGCCTTCTTGGGAGCGTCCTAGGCCCTCCTCGGGCTCTTCTTCGGGGCCCTCTTGGGCCCCTGTGGCCTCCCACGGCCCAACTCTATGCATAGAGTTGGGCTCTTGAGCTTCCCTGCGGTCTCCTTTCGGGTTTTCTTGAACTCTCCAGGCCCGCTTGGAGCTAATCTGCGGGTCCCTAGTTGGGCCTTCAGGCACCCGAAGCTCGCTCTCTATGGGTAGAGTGGGGCCGTTGGGCCTTCTTGAGGTTCCCTTGGGGGCCTGCTGGTGGAGGTCCTCGGGCTCTTCGGGGCCCTCCTCGGCCCCCTGTGGCCACCCGAGGCCCAACTCTATGCATAGAGTTGGGCCCGTTGGGCTTTCGTGAGGTTCCCTTTCGGGTTTTCTTGAACTCCCTAGGCGCGCTTCGAGGCAATCTTCGGGGCTTTAGTGGGGTTTACATTGGGTTTTCACCATTGCGTTTCTGAATTAACATCGTTCTCATCCATCAAAAACATACAAAAGGCGTTGGCGTTCAGGCGCGCGCGCGCGTCCACCTCATTGAGTGTGGGGTCGCATACACCCGCATTCATATGCCAGCCGCTTGAAATCTGAGAATTAAAATTTAGATTGGGTTCTCTCCATTGCGTTTGTGAGTTAGCATTGCGTTTCTCAAGCAAAAAAAAACCATACAAAAGGCGTTGGTTTTCGGGCGCGCGCGCATCCACCCCATTGAGTGTCGGGTCGCGTATATCCCGCATTCATATGACAGCCTCTTGAAATCTGAGAATGAAAGTTTACATGGGGTGTTCACCAAAGGGGTCCTAGTTGGTTGAGCTTCCTGGTTGGGTTCTCGCGGGGGTACGTCGGGCCCTGCGGTTTCCGAGCCACGTCCGGCCGTGGCGACGAGAGGCAAAAGAAACGCTTCAACGCTTACAAATTCAAGGTGCCGTCATCGCCGCCAGCGCCAACATCGCAGGAGGCTGCGCCACTCGCCCTCTTCGTCGCTGCCTCCGCCGTCGCCGTCGTTAACGAGCGTCTGGCCCAGACTCAGCCATTGCGTTGCGTGGCTTCCAATGCCGCACTTCCGCTTGCAATTCGATGCGGGCGGAGAGAGCTTCAAGTTTTCGAGTATAGGCTCATATGGTTCTGCAGCTAACAACAAGCGCAAATATACTGTTTTTCATCAGTCTTCCGCATCTACAGCTACACTTCTTGCGCACACGCCAACGGAAGTGAGCGTATCAGATTTCCGCGCCGTCGTTTCCCAATGGCGGAAGAGTGGCTTGGTGCCGAAAACGGCGCGCGCGCAATACGAGGAACTTAGCAAATACAATTTCAAGAAGTTGGTTGCGGATCCGCACGTACAGAATCTGTCCAATGGCCGTCCCCCGTCTGCGGTTCATGTCGCAGAGCATGGGGGCGCTGGCAATGGAACAAACTTGGATGCCGTTGGCGCCAGGAACACCAGTGCTCCTGCAGTGTGCGCCACTGGTGCCGCTGGCTCTAGCGTAACAGCGGCGCCTCTGGCCTTGGGGCCGCGCGTGCGTCTCTCCGTTAAACGCCCGTTTCCCGAGGACGCAGTTGGCTCTTCATCGTCAGTTGCGAAAGTGGCTGCCCAATCTCAAAGTGCGGATGCCGATGGCCCCTCTGCGTTGTCTTCTCAGGCGGTAGCGGATAGGTTTCGCCAAAGATTGTGCGGCTTGGTGTCTGAGTGGAACCAGAATTTCTCTGCATCTGGGAGAGATGTTGATACCGTGGCTGACGCTCAAATTGCGTCTGCGGGAGCTCTTCGCTTCTTCGCTAACCCACGCGGTGATGTCACACCATATGTCAAACTCTGGGATGATCGCGCGGGGGCATTGGTTGCGTGCGTTCTACGGTGGGCGGCGCGCGACGTGGCCAGCACGGAGAAGGAGAATTCTGCACATTACCTTGCCATTGACAGAGAGACCACTGCGGGTTTCGTCATTGATCGGAGAAGCCAGGCTTGCAAGGACCAGAGCAGCAGCGCTATTCAGACTCATATCAGGGAACACTTCAATGTAAGCATTGAGAACATGCGCGTGGCCGAGCGGAATATTTTGTCGCTCTGGGGCAGCATGGGGGCCCGCGCAGCGTGAAACTACGTTGCGCAGGCATGGTTCGCTGTAGGATCGGTGCATTTGCTCTGGGGATTAGTTCGCGCAGTTTTAGGCGCCCCTGGGCATTCGTTTGTTGCGTCCCTGGCAGGCTGTGCCTGCCAGCGCTGCCAAGTATGACCTTCAATTTTGCGCGTGCTTCTTGCGGAACATTGCATGGTTGTCGGCGGTTTCCGAAGGGCCCGCGAACAACTCCAAGAGAGCCCACAACGGCCTCAAGAGGGCACCAAGAGGCACCGAAGAGGGCCCCGAAAGGGCCCCCAAAGGCACCCAAGAGGCGCAACCAACGCCTAGCGCCTCCGAGGACATTGCGTGCCGTAAGATACAACTTGCGGCAAACAATCCCCCGATACTTCCTACGATTTTAATGCGAGAAGCCCCCCCCAACCACCCCTCGTTCGGAGCCCTCTGGGGGCTTTCTTTGGGCACTCTTGGGGGCCCATGCCCGACGTCCGACGACGACGACGGCAAGTTTGACGCCAGGGGTGCGAGGACTTTGCCAGCTCGAAGCCGCGGGGTGGAGGATATATCGTTGGATGCCTTAAACGTGCGGTGATGGTATATCCATGGCAGTTTCAGCCCGGGGTTGAACGCGTTTCGGCGTCGGTTTCTCCAGCCAAAGGCTCGTGGATATTTCGCAGGCAGCTTTCAGCGATGTCCTTTCCCCTCCCCGCTTCCCTATTCGCACTCCACCCTCCTACCGTTCCTGCGATGGCCGTTTCGGCCTCTCCAGAGCATTTTGCTACTTTTCACAGCGGGCCGCCCGATGGCGGCCCCCAGTGCCGCCAGCGGGGGCGCCTCTGGCATGTCCCTGGGCGGGGGCCCCCCGGAGGCGGCGACGACCGTGCCCGTCGGGGGCGGGCGGGGAGGCGTTGACTTCAGGGCGCAAACAGCGGCCTCCGCAAGCGCCTGCGCAGGTCTTCTGGCGCGTCCCCAGACGGGGAAGCGGCGGAGGGGGCGGCGACCGTGCCCGTCGGAGGCGGGCAGGGGCCTGCCAGCCTGATGGCGCAAACGGGGGACGCCGCGGAGCCTTGCATGGAAGACCTGTTCTCAGAGCCGTCTGCGGACGAGGGCGACTTCTGGGGCGCCGTCGACGAGGATTGTGACGCGAGGGCCAAGCAGCAGGAAGCGCAAGCACTAATGCTCGTGGCGCAGAAGTTTCGAGATGATGCCCGTCGCACCCGCGAGGCTCGCGCCCAGATCGGAGCCTGGGCCCCTTTGACGCCCCAGAAGCCCAAGCAGACGCTGATTTCGAGGTTCATGGTGGACACGCCGAGCCCGCCAGCCGCGCAGGACCGCCCCCTTGAGGGCCGCAGAGGCCGGCGGGGGCCACGGCGCCCTTGCTACATGAACGCCGCGGAGAGGGAGCAGGCGATCAAGAAGGAGGCGATCAGGCAGCAGGACGAGGCCTTGAGGATCCAGGCGCTCGAGTTGGAGAGCCAAGCGAAAGCGGCCGAGGAATTGAGCAAAGAGGCCGCGGCGGTGGCAAGCCAGGCCATCACAATCCTCGAGCCCGACGACGCCGTCAGCGACGTGGTGAAGGCGGCGGAGGTTCTTCAGGTCATCCGCCGCAGAGGGCGCGGCAGACCGCCGCACACGGCGGAGCAGAAGGCTGCGGCGAAGGAGAGGAAAGCCAAGGTGAAGGCGCAGAAGGGCAAGCTCCAACCAGAAGACAGGGAGAGGATGCAAACGCCGAGCGCCATTGCCAGGGGCATGATCGTTGATCGCGTGGACGCCCTGTCGAAGCAGGTCGACAACTACACCACCGACGGATTCTGGTCGCTCGCCGAGGACCTCTGCGGGGCCCCCGCGAGCATGCTGAAACGGTTCGCGAAGCCCGAGGAGAGGGCGAAGCTTTCTCGCTACTTGGATGCCCGCGGCCCTGAGAGGTCAGAAGAGGATCCTCAAGACTTTTTTGTTGCACCCGCGCGTTTGTCAATCAGTCCCCCCCGCTCGCCTCGCCGTTTTGGCCGTGCTTCTGCCGCCGAGAAAGCCCACGGGAAAATGATGCTCCTTCGGGTGGTGCGCCGGCGACACGGCAGAGACATCCCAATGGTTTGGGGCTCGAAGACAAGCCCCCCCCCCCGCCCCCACGCACCCCCGACGCAAACATAATTTCGCTTCCTTGGGATCTTCTTTCTGGAAAGGGAGCGCCGTGGCAGACAACGCTGCTGGAAACGGTTCATCAGCGTCGACACCGGGTGCCGCCTCTCCAAGGATGGCACCAAGAAGAAGACCTACGAATCGCCCGTCAAGGACGTGTACGATTACGTCAAAGCGTGGAAGGACAGGCAGGAGGAGATCGGTTTCGAGCTGAACCAGGAGGACTTGGTCGACGAATTCGAACTCGAGCTGGAGAGCAGGGCGTTCGACCTCAAGGAGAGCGGGGCTGACGTCAAGCTGCTGTCGGAGATGGAGAAGCGCCTCGCCAAGTTGACTTCCCCAGCGAATCGGAAATATGCTCGGGCGCGGCTTGGCAGCTGGTGCGGCGTGGTCGAGCACAAGCCCTCCAACGTGGTGCCGTTCACGGCGGCCGAGAACGACCTCATCTGCAAGTTGTCTTACCAGGCGTGGGACTGGCTCGTTGATCTGCTCATGACCGCCAGCGTGGACGAGCTGCAGGGCTTCGTCGCTGACGCCCAGGGGCTCGTGGACAACAGGCAGCAGCTGGCCGTCGTCGCCCAGGACGCCTCCCCAGTCTACCTGGACTGCAGCGCGGGAAAGGTTCTGGTTAGGACGTCGTTTCTGGACGAGCGCCAGAAGCGGCGGGGGCTGCGCCTCGCGGCCCAGGAGGACACTGCCCTCAAAAAAGCTTTTCGCCGTGGAGGTGTGGCCAGGAAGCTGTCCTGGTCGATTGGCCGCAGAGTAGGCATCGGCCGAGACAGCTTGCGGCCCTTGCCTCCCGAGCGAAGTGCACTCCCCATCTCTCCCGCTCCCAGGACCCAAACGCGCCCGTGCCGGAGATCATGTCGGTGGCGCAGCCGAGCGACGCCGTGGGCTCCAGCAGGAGGGAGAAGAACAGGTGGGCGCCCGCAATCGACGCCCGGCTTCCGGCCACGTGCGTCCAGCGCGCTCTCGCTGCACATGCCTGAGGGAGCGCGCTGGCGCATGGACGCGGGCCGCGTCGCCGATGCGGGCGCCGTATAGGCTGACCTTCTTCTTCCGGCAAGCGCTGGAGGGCCTGTTTGACGAAGGCGCGGCGGCGCCGAGGGGCGCGGTGCTCGACGGCATCTTGCTCGCCGTCGCTTCGAAGCACTTTCGCCTCGAGGACATGTCCTTCTTCGAGCCGGCGCAGTGGTTGCGGGGCCACTCGTTCTCGCTCGACGGCGTCGTGATCAAGCGCGCGAAGGGCGAGGCAGTGGGCCCCCTGGGCTCCGAATGGCGGGCAGCCAGGCGCCACAACAAGGCGTTGTTCTACGCCCCTGGGACGGACTGGGGGCAGCCGCCCGACACGTGGCCCCCAGGGCACGTCCGGTTGTGGTGCGCCCCTAAGGCCACGGAGGACACCATCATCGCGCCCTTCCTCACGGACCTCACGGTGGAGGAGGGTTACAAGTACGCCCTGAAGACGGTGGACTGCGTTGCCAGCGAGCACTCTGAGATCATGGACTTGCACAACTACATGAACAACCAGGTAGTCCACGCGATCGGCATGCGCCAGACCGCGAAGACGCAGGTAACGGACGTGCGGGAGGCCGTTATCGGCAAGGCCGGCGGCGAGAAAGTTAAACACCAGCGGAGGAGACTCAAGAGACTCGCTGGCAACATGTCCGGCCAGGCGTCCGACCTCGCATCCGACAAGGTCGATCTCATGCACATTGCCCTGGGCATGCAGATGAAGTGCCGCCGGGACAACGCCGAGCGCCAGGGCGTACTGAAGGCGTTCCGCATGGCGGGCTGGCTGGCGCACAAGCCCACCTCTCTCGGGCTGGTCCCCCTCGTGGGCCCCGAGTGGCGGCAGCTCCCATTGGGAAGCTCCCGCCTCTCGAACAGCCTCATGGCGGACAGAGTGAACTACGTGCCCGTGAACGGCAAGCCCGTGAAACCCGATTGGGGCGGGTTGCGGGCCCCCCGCGCCAGACAGCGGGCGGCATACGCGCAGCAGAAGGGCAAGGGCATCAGCGAGGCCCGGAAGCAGGAGCTCCTTCTGGACGGCGAGGAGGTCGACGGGTTCGTTTCTTACCTCGGCGGCTGGGGCGAGCGCCCCTTCGCGGACCACGAGGAAGCCTTGGCGGCTGTAGACAGCGACCCGTCGCTGGCCAAAGGCCCTTTACAACCCTTCGAGCCGCTCAGTCTGGCTGGCGTGATCAGCGCGGAGGCCTTGGCTGAGGAGGCGGCTTTCCAGTCGCTGCACCCCCGCGTGAAGCAGGCCATCCTGGCAGGGGGCGCCATCGCCAAGATGCCCAGGGTGACGAAGAGCTTTCGGGGCGTCGCGGCAGAGAAGCGGGTAGAGAAGGCCATGGCGAAGAAGACCAAGGCGGCGGAGAAGAAAGCAGAGTGGCGCGCTGCCATCGACGCTCTCGGCCTCGAGGCCGCCCGCAAGCAGCTTTGCGTGCCCGCCGTCGTGACCAAGGCGGCGAAAAAGACGAAGGAGCAGGCAGAGACGAAGGGCAAGAAGGGTGGCAAGGCGAACATCAAGCGGAGGCAGTCCGTCAAGGGTAAGAAGGAAGCCGCGGCACGGAAGGGCGCCCGCGCAAAGGTAGCCGCTGTTTTCGCAGGGAACGTGGCGACGCTGGAGGAGAAGCTTAAGACGCTGCAGGCGCAGCTCCTCGGTGCGGGGCAGGAGGCCGAGTCGCAGAAGCAGGAGGCCAAGCAGGGGGGCGAGGCGCTTGCCGCGCCGCTGGAGGAGCAGCCCGCGGCCGCCGCGGCGGCCGAGAGAAAACGCTTGCGGGTGCACGCGGGCAACCTCGCAGTGCGCACGTTGCAGCTCCAGGGCTTGCACCGCCAGCTGCAGGACCAGCAGCTGGAGTTGGAAAACGCAAGCAAGTTTGGCCAGAAGGCCCTCGGCCAGGTGAAGCGGAAGGCCACCGCCGCCATGCTGGCGGCCCAGAGAGTCCTGGCCAAGAAGCCCAGGACGGGCGAGGTGGGAGAGGGCGCAGGCGTCGGCGGCGCCGCGAGTTTGCCGCTCCCGCCGCCCGCGGAGCCGCCCGAGGCTGCGCGCCGCGCGGGCGATGCCAGCGCGCCTGGGGCCGACGATTGGCTCGGCGTGTCGGCGCCCGCGCGGCCCGTAGCCGAAGTGGCGGCCGACCCAGTTGCGCGCGCAGAGGCGACTGGCGCATCGGGGGCAGGCGGGCCCGTTTGGGGCGCGGCAGCGGCGCCCAGCGTTTCACCGCGCGGTGACGAGCAGGGCGCCGAGGGGCTGGCCCCTGCAGCCGCGCCAGTCCCAGTTACCTGTGCGACGGAGCAGCCGCGGCCGCAGGGCGCGGCAGCGCCGCCCGCGCAGTCGGCGCATCCACCCAGCGCGTCCTCGCTCGGAAGCGCCCCAGCAGCCGTGTTGACGGGGTTGGTGCAGTTGGACTGCGACAAGGCTATCGCGCGCGACTTGACGCTCGCCGCGCGGCACCCCCGCGGACTGTGGGGCCTCCTGGAGTCGACGAAGGGCACGTCGGCGTGGATTTACCTATTCACCGCAGAGGCCCCAGCCGCGGGCGCAAACAGGAAGATGGTTCCAGCGTCGTGCCTGGCGCAAGTGGCATCGCCTCCCGCGCAGCCGCGCCCCTGGAAGAAGAACGCTGGATGGCTCGGGGCAGAGCAGAGGGCCCGCATCAAGGAGACTTGGTGCCTCGAGGACGACGTGGGGGTGCCGAGCGAGAAGACGTTGCTCAGCGAGTCCCAGCTCGCCGTGGCGTGCGCAGAGGTCGGGTGGCGCATCCTGCTCCCTCGCTGCCTCGTCGTGCCCCCTTACCTCTGCGGCTTGGCTGCCCACCACGTGGTCAACCACGCCGCCGTCAAGGACGTGCGCAAGGAAGGGGGGGGTGCTGATTGACGAGCGCGTGGCCTTCGCGCAGAGGGCGGTCCTCCTTTGCCTGCCCATCATCTGCTCCGGGCATTGGACCCTCCTGGTCTTGCAGAGGGGCGGCGCGCCGAAGGGGTCCGAGAAGCCAGTGGACGTTGGCAAGAGGCCGCTGGACGAGGACATGAAGGAGAAAGGGTGCGCGAAGTGCGGCACCGCAGGCTGCATGCATTGCGCCCCCGAGCACGCGGCCAGGTGGGCCGCTCGCTTGAGCGCGGAGGACGCGTTCTTTGACCCCTGCTATTTCCTGTCCCCGCTGCCCGAGGCCACGTGGTGGGACATTCGGTATTACGACAGCCTGGAGGCGACGTCCCATTCGTGCGCTCGGCTCGCGGCGGCGTTGCTGGAGGCGCTCCAGCCCGCAGGGGTGCGGAACCCCATGACGGCGGAGGAGCTGAGGAAGGCAAGAAGGAACACCGCCTACCAGCAGGACGCGACGTCTTGCGGGTACTGGGCCGCGCACTACGTGGAGACGGAGTTCAGGCGCCACGCTGGCGAGGGAGACTTCGCGGTTCCGTTTGCGCGGGGCCGTCGGGTGGAGTTGGCGGGTGCGTTGATCAAGAGATTCCAGGAGTGACCTGGCTTGTGACCCTGGCTTAGGGACGGTGCCCCGCGATGATGATATAGTTTCTGGGCCCCGAGTGCGACAGTGCACTGGGGATGATATCTTTCGGGCGGGGCGGCTGGTTTGACTTGGAGGGCTGGGGCCCCCGCCAGCGCAAGCAGGTCGCGAGAGCATGCCAGACCGGAGGATGAGCGCCAACGCTGCCTACTCCTCCCTCTCCTTCCTCCGAGCCACGCTCTTGGATGCTTGCTTCGAATGATGCATGATGCGTGCTGCTGTTGCTGCCGCCCGCCTCCTGTTCTCAGACCCCCCGAATTTCCAGGACGGCTGAAGCAGAGCTCCAAACGTCCATCAAATATGATGTCAAACCGTGAGTCTGTTTACTGCTCGGCCTGGTCCAGAGGTCCAAGAGGGGCCACAGAAAGCCCCCAGAGGGCTCCGAACGAGGGGGGCCCGGGGGGGCCTTCGCGCGTTAAAATCGCAGAAAGTATCGGGGAATTGCTTGCCGTAAGTTATATCTTACGGCACGCAATTTCCTCGGCGGCGCTGAGCTCTGGCGGGGCCTCTTGGGAGCCTCTGGGGGTCCGCAACTGTCCGTCTCTGGGGCCTCTTGGCGCTCTCTTGGGCCTGTCTTGGATTCCGCGGGCTGTTCCAGGACGGCCGCGAGAGGTTCCAAGAGAACCCAGGACAAGGCGCCTGCGAGCCCAATGCAAGCCCGAGCCACCAAGCCCTAACCGCTAAACCCCGACGCCTACGCCATAAGCCCTCAGCGATAAGCCTGGAGCTCCAAGCCCTGAACTTTAAGCCCGAACCCCAGACCCGTACGCCTGAACCCTTCAGCCCAAATCTTAAAGCCCGGAGCCTTGCCCACGCGCCCGTAACCGCTAAGGTCGCTGACCCCCCGAAGCGTCTGGAAAGGCATACAGGAGTTGCTGAGAAAAGATATCCAACTGCCCCTGGGACGCCCACGAAAGGCTACAGGACGCCCAAGGGAGCTTCCAGGACGACCCAGAGTGGCCTCCAGGACGCGCAAGGTCCAAGACCGCCCAAGCCCAAGCGAGCCTCCAGGACGCCCAATGGCGGCTCAGAACCAACTTCCCCTTTAAACAAAAAGCCTTTTGGATTCCAAAAAAAATCCAGGACGACCAACCTGGCTTCCAGATGGGTGATTATATTTTGGGTTCTTGAGGGTTCCTGAGGATTCCTGAGGCCAGGATTCCTCAGCATTCCTCAACCAGGATTCCTGAGGATTCCTCTGAGGATTCCTCAGGATTCCCTGAGGATTCCTGAGGCCACCTCCTTTGCTTCCTCCTTCATGACCCCCTTTCGTCGGCCCAGATTCCTGGATGTCTCGACGCCATTTCCAATTACCCCTATCGTTTGCTTCGCCCCAGTCGTTTCTAGGCAGTCCTGGGGCCTCGAGTGGTCCCTCCCCCCGCGGTTGAAAACGATTACAAAATGCATCATCGTGATTTGTGCGCGATGCCCCCGAGCCGACTCGATCGAGGTTCAAGGAACGAGCTTCGAGATTGTCGGATGTTTTCGCTGGCTGTCGAAGCTTTTCTCGCCCTGGAGGGCCTGCATATTCTGGACGCTTCGCGTAACCCCACAAGCTCCTCCAGAAGAGCGGCCAAACGAGTTGCAGTGATCGCGGAAGTTGGGCGACATACAAAGGAGCAACGGGCTCGGGAGGCAATCGTACCCCAAGAGAGTGAGGATTGAGAACAAGTCGGGGGCAGAGGAGGAGGAGGAAGAGGAGGAGGGGGAGGAGGAAGAGGAGGAGGACGAGGAGGAGGAGGAGCAGCAGGAGGAGGTGAAGGACGAGGAGGAGGAGGACGAGAAAGAGAAGGAGGAGGAGGGGGAGGAGGAGGAGGAGGAGGAGGAGGAGGAGGGTGGAGGAGGAGGAGGAGGATGAGGAGGAGGACCGCACATGGACAATATATCCGAACCCTTTGACACAAGATGCCCCCCGGACCCCCAAATTAATATTGGGTAGATGTGGCAATGAAGGGGGAGGCACTGCTGGACAATAATATTCGACCCCCCAAAGCAGCACCCATACCGATCTCAACATTGAAGTGGGGGGTCAAAGGGGGGGGGACAAGCATTCCCTTCACGTCCGCGTCGGGTTTGAATATGTTGTCCATGGTTTCATTTGTTTTATTTTTGTTGTCGGATCATGCTCATGATGATGATGATGATGATGATGATGATGATGATGATGATGATGATGATGATGATGATGATGATGATGATGGTACTAATGATGATGATGATGATGATGATGATGATGATGATGATGATGATGATGATGATGATGATGATGATGATGATGATCATGATGATCATGATGATGGTGGTGATGATGACGATGACGATGACGATGATGCTGATGATGATGATGATGATGGTGATGCTGATGATGATGATGATGATGATGATGATGATGATGATGATGATGATGATGATGATGATGATGATGATGATGATGATGATGATGATGATGATGTGATGATGATGATGATGATGATGGATGATGAGGATGAAGGAGGATGATGATGAGGAGGGGGGAGGTGGAGGAGGAGGAGCAGGAGGAGGAGGACGAGGAGGAGGACGAGGAGGACGAGGAGGACGAGGAGGACGAGGAGGCAACGGGAAGCAGCAGGAGGAGAATGAGTGACGCCCAGCAAGGATGAGGAGGATGACGATGAGGATGCGGACGAGGGTGGGACGAGAAGGAGGAGGAGGGGGTGGAGGAGGAGAGGGAGGAGGAAGAGGAGGACGAAGAGGAGGAGCAGGAGGAGGAGGAGGAGGAGGAGGAGGAGGAGGAGGAGGAGGATGAGGCAGGTAGGGTGCACTCGGGGGCATCTGAGGAGAAGTGTTGGGACCTCTCCAGGGCTTCTGAGACCTCCTGGGGGGCCTTTCGGGTCTCATCGGGCCCATCGGAAGGCCCTCGGGCCTTTTCGGGCACGAGGGCTCGAAATGCCTGTTCGCGTCCTCTGTCTGGGCTCTTTTCCGAAGTCGTCTTGCGGGCCCTTTGAGCCGTCTCGGAGATCTGGCCGCCGGCAACCAATGTGACCATCAGCAAGGCAGCAAATTGGTATCCAGCGAGCAAGGCAACCAAGCAGGCAGCCAACCAGACAGCCAACCAGGCAGCCAGCGAAAGCAAACAACCAGGGAGCCAACCAGGCAGCCAGCGGCCAACCAGGCAGCCAACCAGGCAGCCGCAAACAAGCAACAAGCAAACACGCTGAACGACAACTTTGTGAAGCGAAAGCGTCTTGGAACGTCTTGAAGTGAAGTCGCCGAGAGGGAGGGGTCGAAGAGGAAACTCCCTAGACCACCTGCGCCCTAAAGGGCTGATGGGATTGCTGCGCCCTGCCGCGGAGTTTCAGGCAAGAATCGGCGAACCGCATCCGTAGCCATTTCGGCAGAGGTTCAAGCTTGCCAATGTGGTCGGAGCCCCAACGGTCAAGCAATGAAATGTTCTTGGGCATCCGCATGCCTCCTGTTGTGCGTGATTTCCACTAGTGGGTTTACGGTCGTAGCTGCTGTGGGGTCTGCGAAGGACTGTCCTCAGGAGCTCTACGATCGAGAGACCAGCAGGGCGACGCCAGGCGATAGCCGGGCCGCCCGCCAGATAGCATATTTGAAATGCATGACTTTTCCTACTGTGCTGCACAATCCGCTGGGTGTCTTAGAATCACTTCGTTTTATTTATCGGCGTTTGCCGTGCGCTGCGTATGAAAATCCGACATCCTTGCTTGCAATGCTCATGGCGGCGTATTGCATATGCCGCAGCTCCGCTGGACGCACACTTGTTGGTTTCGAGCAGCGGAGCGGCTTGTCCTTGTCACTGGAACAATACAAGTACATCGTCAGTGCGAAGAACCCACGCACAGGTCTCAGAGCCAAAAACGTTCAACCCCAGCTGCGAGTGCAACCCGGGGTGAAAGTGTGCCCTTGCCGTGTGCGTTACGTTTCTGCGCGCCGACTCGGATGGAGTTACGGGGTGTGGGATGCCAAGCTGTACTTCAGGGATCGTTAGCACAATTTCCGAGTTGTAAATGATGGCGGCGGCGTGGGCTGAACGCGGCTGGGGGCGTGGTTCGAGCGCGCCGCGCCCTCGGCACGACGCAAGGGCACTGGGCGCACCCCAGGTTGCACTCGCATCTGGGGTTGAACGTTTTTCTCCTCCCGAAGGTCTCTGCATGGAAGGCGTGGTTCAGTTGCTACGATTGCACCCTGTGTACAAATGGGCTGGAGGTGATGTGTTCTTTGAGAGGGCAAGGGCGTGGTGGTGGCACCACTGTCAGAGACTCCACAGCGTCGCGGACGTGACCCGCCGAGTGCGGATGAAAAGAGGATTTTTGCTCACGGCGCTATCGTTCCTTAGTGTGCGTAGCACGCGACTGCTTGCGTTCCTCGAAGCACACCTCGACATCCTGTTTGAATCGGCGGCGGCTCTCCCACAGATCATCGACGAGGTCGTGCTACGGGGCCCCTCGGCCATTGGCTTGAAAGATAGCACGTTCAACGCTTATGATCTGGCTACGACAGAACAACGTCTTTGGACTTTCGGAAAAATCACCGACCACATTCTAATTCCGGCTTGGAGGTGCTGGGACAAGATTGACGGGTTACTCCGCGCCGCAAGCGTGGCGGAGTTTGCAGGCGTGCTCAAGACCATCCCCCTGCTGAAAGGTCCTTTGCTCTTCTCACACACTCTGGAATACCTTCTTCTTTTCGATCGCGGGGCTCAGCGTCGTGTATTTTCTTTCAGCATAGAGACCACGGAAGCCTTGGCTCCGTTTACCATGCCTGGCCAGAACGCTCAGGTTTTCCTGTCGTACGCGCGGGCGGCGAGGTACCGCGGCGACGAATACAAGAACATCTGTATGGACAGCTCGGCCGCTGAGGTGTGCGATTACCTTCCTCTCAGAGCAGACTTTGCGGGGTCCGAGTGTTACGGGTTTCCGTACTTCACTGCTGTGGACGAGCAGCAGACGTCA